ATTTCAGTGTGTTTTTTACCATCAAATGTTTACGCATCAATTCTTTAAAAGTATATTATAGATAACTAATATTATCTCTCGTAGATGTATTATTTTAATGACAAAATATTAGAAACTAACGCTTTACATTGTTTTCATAATTAATAGTTTTCTAGTGTTTACTAAATTGTGAAAAAGATCCATGATATAAAAAAAGTAAAATAATTGATTGTTAAGCAAATGTTTTAATTACAGATTAACTATTAATGAACTTTTGAAGTTAGAAGCATTTAAACATACTATAAAACGTTTAAACATTTCTATGGCTATGAACAATATAATGTTCACTTTTTAACTATTTAGTGCAAATTTTGAATCTTTGCAACTTTTTCAACTTTCTACATGTAATAACATGAAAATATGTTATATTTAATTTCATTTTAGCATAAGCTAGATGTTACATTATATATTTTAATTCTAGTCAAACATTATTTTTTATCATTTAAGTCCATATCTATAAACTAACAGTGTGGTACGTGCTACTTACATTGACATAAGTAGTATATAACGTGAGTCAGGAATGTAATCTCTGGCAGCAGAAGATTGAGAAGATCAAGAAAGGAAGAACGAGAATAGAAAGCAATTAGTATAGAAATGCAAGAACAATGAAGTTTGAGACAATTATTGAACATTTCGCAAATTAGATATTATAGTGTAGTTTTTCTATTTTACCAAGTAATTCTGTAATGTTGTGCTAAATATAATTCGATTGTCCTCACCTGTGTTCACCTTCACTACATTTGATGACGCTGCCTCCACCAAGGATGAAGAGTCCATGGCCAAAGGAATTTGAGGACAGAGATGTGGTGGGCTTCCTGAGGGAGTTTGAGGCCGTGGCGGGGCTTGTGGGAGTGAAGGAGACGGAGGCGAAGATGGTGGTGCTGAGGATGCTGCTGAGAGGCAGGGCAAAGGCTGTATATGACAGCTTGGACAGTGCTGGCGGAAAGATGACACGGGAGACAGTCACGGAGCGGTTGATGGTGGAGTTCGACAGCCCAATGTACAGAGAGGAGGCACTGCCGAAGTGTATAGAACAAATGCTATAATTATGTAAGATGATAAAACACAAAAGTATCTTAGAAATAGAAAAAGAAATGAATATAATACTATTATCTTAATCCTATTCATTATAAACATGGCCATTAAGAGTAGAAGATACTCGTAAACTATTAGTATTTGACCACAGATACCTTAGAAATATTTCTGGCGTCTACTGGGATCACCGGGTAAGTAATAGTAAAGTTAGACGCAGGGTATTAGGGAATGATGGTAAATCAGTTAATGAGGTTGTGAATCTCCATCGACTGAGATGTTTGGGCCACGTGTTACACATTAATGAACACCAATTACCACGACGTGCAATGCTAACCGGTGTTCAGGATGGTTGGAAGAAAGTTAGGGGCGGCCAAACCAAAACGTGGCATCAGTGCTTGAAGTCACTAACTTCTAGTCTGAGCCATGTTGGTAGATACAGACTACTTATTTGGGGTCCGCGTGACTATCGTAATCAATGGTTGAAGACTCATGGTGACATGGCTCAGAAGCGATTACAATAGCGTCGGTGTATACACTCTCTGTTTTCTCTTAAACTAAGAGATTAAAATCGCTTCATATCTTTCTTTCTACGAACTAATTCTTTCTTTCTGTACTATATCTGTATATGCAATCTTTCTTTTATATATTACCACCTCTGAATTGACTACTTTAATGAATCCGGTGTTCAACTTGTTATGTTAATGTGGTATGGCAACTTGGACCGATGCATATATGTGCCTAGTTCTACGTTGTAGCTGACTGACTGGCTGATTCATTATAAGCTTTTCTAACAGAAATACGTATTATTCCATATTTACATTATCGAAATCTCATAGAATATACTAATTCAGTATAATAAATTGTGTATTAAATAATTATTTATGAATGCCTTTTTCTTATTTGTTCAGTCAACCATTTGTTGTTTGTTTTTCATTGAATAAAAAGGAAATATTTACTGTTTTCTTTCTAAAAATTTCATTTCATAAACAAACTAATTCATTTATTATTTAGTTACCTATTCTTGCTTTAAAATTCATCATTTTAATAAGATTTACGTTGCCATTTATTTAAAATCAACTTGTTTTTTTGAGCATGGATATACAATAAAAGATAAAAGAAAAAAAAGTGGAGAAATGAAAACAATGATAAATGAAGTAAGAAATTCTTTGCCTGATTTTCTAAATCTATTTAAATTAAAGTATGAGAAAAAAACAGGATGAGATAAAAATTTTCCAAACACAAGAACGGCAGAAATTGTCTATGCCTATCCTGTTTATGACTGTGTCTTGAAGTGTTGATCATCTAATCAAGAAGGATAGCGAATATGTCTTTTTTAGAAAAAGTAAAATCATCATATAAATGAAATACTTAGGGATAGTACAATTTATTGAGGCCAGTGAGGAGTATTCCATTTATGTTATTTATTTATGCAGTTGCCATGGTAATTATTTCAAGGAAAATGTTGCCTAAATTAAACATATGAAAACGTCATGCAATAATCGGGATTCCACTCATCTCAGATGGATTCTAGTGAACATAATATTTTTCTTCAGTTTCAAAACTATTATTCATAGTTGTCAATTATATTTTACAAAATAGCCAATTCTATATCTTTTGATGTTGAGGATTCAGCTGAACATAGGCTGGGGTCTAATTTCAAGAAGGTAGGTGTTAGATAAGTAAAAACCATACCAGTTAACAAACCTATTGTTGTTACTTGTTGTGACATGAATGTTTAGTTTTAATATTCAGAAGGATAAAATTCATCCAGCTTTTTTCTTATTATCTTTGTTTTCTCTTATGTACTAATTTATCAAGGGGGACCTATTTTTCTAATTATATGTCTAGTTTTTTTAATAATAATATGTCACATCAGTTATATAAATTGTGTATTTTCACCGTATTATTTGTGGAACATTCACTTTATTTATTTAAAATTTCATTTCACATCATTATTAGGAAGAGTTTGAGCTTCTCGGTTCTTTAAATCAAGCAATTCGTACATCCTGTGGTGGTCCCCAAACAAAAGGAGCTTACACAAAATATATTAATACACTAGGTTAACAATGATATACCAAAACAAATTAATGATTAAGAAACTTAGATGTCTGTCCGTTAGTAAAAACAAAGGTAATAAAATACCGTTAGCAATACAAAAGGTATATTAAACAAAACAGACGCTAACAGTTACTATAGAATGAATGTTACTTGTTAACTGCCTCGTGAGGACAACGACCACAAACTGATGTTATAATACTATTATAGTCTTCAATCAAAACGGTGGCCAATAAAACAGAAGAACAAACGGCGTAGGTAGTGTTCTATATTTTAAACAACCCGGTAGTAGAAGTGTATATCATTCGTCGAAACAATTATCATCGTGTTTTTAACAAGTGATACAGCAAAACAACAGATATTGAATAAAATGTGGTTACAAATAAAGTGTGACAAATTAGAGAAAAAATGTGGTTTTTATTTTTGTTGTTACAAAAATCACTGAATATATGTCACCATAATCCTGAGCAGAATTACTTGATATGATTGTTAACACTGAGGACCAGTCCTAACTTAGATCAAACGATAAACCTGATACCCACCGTTAGCCACAGTCGATCCGTTGTAAATAAAATCGCACTTAGTTTTCATTTTGATTTTTTCATAGGATTCCCGAACAGTTTTATTTTCGTTTAGATAATTACAAAGTGACCAAGCAGAATAAATTAATTGTTTCGTTACAATCATAGCGTTCAAAGTTTTGATTAATTGAAAATGATAATATCGATTGAATTAAACAAGATTTCAAATACGTATTTTTACTCATTCTACAGAGTTGTTTAAAACAAATGTGACTATTCTAAATTTTATTTTTCATCATTCATAATTAAACTTAGTAATAAATATATATCCGAATGAGTAGAGATATTGTGTTTCCTACTTTTCGTGACTTAACATAAGCTTCTTCCTCAGAGTAAGCAAATAATTGAATTAAATCAACACAAGTTTAAATGGTAAAAATGAAACAATGCATAGTGTATTTGGCACAATCGAAATTCAGTTGTTTATCTACTCTGAAGAAGTAGCTTACATAAAGTCGCGAAACGTCACAAATGCATTTTCTCCACCTATTGGGATATAACAAAAAATAAATTTATTATTAACTTTCTACCCAATGTCAATTTATTTGAAACCATCAAGTCCAACCTTGGTATTGATACCTATAATTAAACAAAATTTAAATAAATGTTGTTAATCATGAAATGTAGTATCATTAACTGATTTTTACAACCTTATTTATTCAATCATTCCGAATGTTTCATACAAATAATTCTGTCCATTCATTACAACAAGTACAACAAACACATTGGGATGACATGAATACATTTTATTTGTTGTGTTTTAAATCTTCCATATACCCTTTTACTTTGTAACACTTTAAACAAAAACGTTTTATAAATATAATTGACTGTACACTATGTATAAATTCATTTAGTTTATTAATGGAAGACCATTATAATTTCTTTTTATAATTAATTCATGTATATGAATTAAGCGTGTTTAAAATATATAAAGCATTTATTGTTAGAATTCACTGCTGAACTAAATTAATTCACCCATGTGACACACAAAAAATGACATTTAGGAAATATTTTATTTATTTATTGATAACAAGCAATCTAGATCTGAAAGATTTAGACATGATATATTGAATGTAATTGTCCATTTTTTACACCATTCATCGTGTTATTATCTTGTTATTCAAAATGTTTCCATTGTCTCCGTATATATTCAACATTCACTTGCCTCATATTTTAATATTCAATTCAGTATACATGGTTATTAATAATTGTTTTATTGTTTCCTCCTTGAATTGAATAATGTCTCAATAATCCTTATATTTCTTTCTTTCTTTCCAAAATATCCTGCAGTTACGATGAATTTATTCAAAAATATCTTATCATACGATTTCAAAATCAGGTGCCTTTAAACCTATTACAAGAAATTTATCAATCTATTAAAATTCATAATCAATCTGGTGAATCTTCAGTAAAATGTTTTCATAATACAATGTTTACTGAACATCAACCAGATAATGTTATTCAAGAGTAAGTATCAAATATAGTGAGGATGTTGTGTTTACTTTTAAAATGTACGCTTTTTTTAGTCACTCATTGTTTTTTATTCAAAAGATAAAAAGTAATCCTGCTATGTTTGAGGCGATTACGAGTTCACCTAGGGATCTAACGTCCTCAACAGATCCTAATTGACTAACAGAGATTTTCGATTACAGAGCTTTATTATTGTATAAAGTTTGAATTTTGCATTGACTCCGCCTTAAGTCCCTCCGGGGGCTACTGCCGGTCCCAAGCCCAGATAAAGGAGGAGGGTTGGGCATGGGGTTAGCGTCCCCATCCCGTAGAAAACTAACTCGCTAAAAAAACGCTAACCAGAAAAATTATTTAATAGTATATGAACAAATGTTGTAGATTGTTCTTGTATTATAAATGACAGTATTTATTATTATAAGCCTACAAACTGCATAGTATTTCTAATAACATCTTTAAGGTTTCTACGTACATATAGATACATTTAATTAAAAAATGCTGATAACATAGTGTATATTCAGGATTTATTTCAAGAGTAGTTATTAAGGACCTATATTTTGTATAGGGACTATTAATGCTATCTAGTCCACACATTTTGTTATATTTGGAATGCATTTGCATTTAAGTTATATCTCCACTAAACCTTGAAACACATTACGTATCAGCTTTTCTATTAGAATATTATTCGCTATACTATTGGCTCACGATAGCTCTCAAAAATTATATATATATATAAATTTTGCTAAATATAGGACTATTTTTTCTCACGGTTATCATTGAGAACTAAACTGTATATCTACTGAGTTGGAGTCTATTTTATATTTAGCTTCTTATAATCGTACTCATAATCCGGTTACTTCATAAATACTGGTTCGCTTTATGTCATTCTGACTAATAACTTTTCTCTTTGCCAGTAACACATTAATGTTAACAATGGCTTAAATCCAATTTGTTTGATCAGCTTATTCTAACCAAAATAGCTATTCAAAATATGAGCATAGTAAACAAATAAACGTTTTGTTATTCTCTGTTGTTTACTACCAGGAACTACATACAATGATTACAAATCCGCATCACAGAACAAAACAGAAATCATGAGTTGTAAATAACTAAGTTATAAGTAATAAAAAACAGAATCATCAGGTTAATAATTAATTGTCGATAATTCTGAAACGGTAAAGTAGATAATAGTAATGTTTGAATCAAATAAAAACGTATAATTAGAAGAATATCAGAAAATCATAATTCAAGTATTTATTAGTTACACAATATAAATGTAACAATTCCCCTTAGAACATTTCTGAAAATTTCACCTTCTCTGAATATCTTCTTCAGTCTAATAGAGTCTGAATCTGAAAGTCAACATAAATACAAATACAGCTAGATGATAAATCCCAAGTATGACGACGAATACAATTTGTATTCCATTTAAAATACAACTTTTTATACATCCAAGCAATACAAAGCTAATTCAACAAGGAATTAGAAATCTTCACTGATGATATTAACAATAAGACACTGTAAATTTTCTATAAATTTATCAAATACTAATGTAAACCTTAAACCAAACCGAATTCACATCCACTATTCATTGTTTTCTTTTATCTCAAATAGACATTTAAATGGAATTATCATAGAATTTATGAGTAAATTAGTTTGATTGTTTTTCTACTCTAAAGAAATCTAAATATAAGCGTCAATACTTTTTTAAAAAAACACAACTGTTTTAGAATGAAATTAGATTGTTGTCAAAGGAAAAATAAAGCGAGAGAATGAACATATTGTCAGAAATGTTTGTTTAAAAAGAAAAAGAAAACAATGTTTAATTTACTGGGAAAATATTTCTTTCTCTCCCTCTATCTCACTATTAAAACGATAATAATAATAATAATCATATTAGTAACAATAATAATAAGTACATCCGTAGCCTATAAATAAATGCACTAATTTAAAAATAAATTAGAAAGATAGGAAAAAGAAATGATATTGAGAGAATAGATAGAATACTGATAAAACTGTCAATTAGACTGAAATTGTTTTTTTCTTTCATCTCTATTGTGATAGATAGAAATTTTAACAAATTATAAAGGCTAATAAATACTTTATTATAAAGCTTAATTTTATTTTACTGTTATACCATCATTTCGTTGAAATGCTACGTTCTATATTTATAACATCAATATATATATATATATATATATATATATATATATATATATATATATATATATATATATATATATATATATATATATATATAGTCTAATCTTATTCATGAACTGTCTCGTTACATTCTGTTTTCAAAACAACTTACAATGCAAAAAAAGAATTCTATTTATTTTAAAATGAATTATTCAATTATAAAACGAACGGATAATTGAGTGAGAGAGTAAACTAATTCTACTGAATCCTTTCCATTATTTAGAATAAAAGTTATTTATTTAGTAGCAGTTATCATGCATTTATTGGTTTTCATAGTTAATTGTATACCTAATTGACATTAGTTAGTAAAACAGATGTAGATTAAAAGATGTTGAAATGTTGTATTTGCCTTAAATTAGGACTACTCGGTAAATACGTTACCTTAGGTTTACAGAAACTGGTATCTATAATAATCTGGGTTTTTTTACAATCAGTAAGATACTTTTTAAATAATGAATTGGATTTCAGTGGATTATATTACCAACATTGGTCAATTATGGCTAAAGAAATGATGAACATCCGGTCATCATTGCTATTACATTATTGTGGTTGAATTCGCATCGATAATTAAATGGGAATTAACTGAAACATTTTCGTTTTACTGACTCATTTAGTTTATATAGTGAGTTTCAGTCATTTATTTTGGCACGTTAAGTGAATAGTTTTGTGGAAATGGATGGACATACTCCAAAATTGATTGTAAATATCCTTATTCAATACACTTTTGTCATTACGCTTTTAGAAACAGTATTTGTAACGAAGCAATTAGTCCCATTTATAAACTTTTATAAAACAATGAGGAAAGGGTTTTGATCTGAAAAATATGGTGTATCTGTGCTCTAGATTTCGACCAATCTTGCAATCAAGGATGATGGATAATGGCTTCGTAAAAATTTATTTTCTAATTCTCCGGAAGTAGAAAACCATGTTCATTGATTCCGAATTAAATAATTGACGTTGTTTCAGCTTTTAAAGCGTTAGACAGGAAGTTTCAAAGACAAATCCTAAGGTTTGTAGATGCCGTGGCTACTCACAAATCCTTCTCGAATCTGTCGTAATAATGTTTAAGTCCTTTTACGGCCTATGTTAGAGTGAAAATTACCAATTGTTCCCATGTCGTATTAAGTTTTTTCTCACTGACAGTTATCGCTATGTTTACTTTGACTTTCATTTGACTGACCTTCATTAGCTTTCGTACAAAACACATTGACAAGTATGTATGACCAAATATTTTAGACTGAAACCGTCTTCCTACTATCTTGTCAAAATAGTAAATTATTTGGAAACTTTATTCTCAAACTACTTATTCTATGAGAAAATAATTATTTTTCTTTTATCGACATATGATATTATCAGTCATATTCATTTCAAGTCCAGCGTGTTTAAAAACAAAGTTTCCTTAGTTTAGCATTTTTAAAACACTTGATAGAACTTACATCATAATGAGGAGTCTACTTCATGTTAAAAATGGTAGACTACACATATTGCAGACGGTACTTACACTTGTTACCCCTCGTAGAGGTGCATAGGCGGACCACCAGCATTCTCCATCCAACTCTGTCCCGGACAATCCTTCCCAGTTGTTTCTAGTCTCTATTCATCCTTTTCATGTCTGCTTTCACTTCACAATGCAGTGTGTTCTTCGGTCTTTTTTTCCGTTTCCCTTCAAGATTCCAGGTTAGAGCTCGCCGAAAGTAGTAACGTCATAAACTACATTTCCTTAGTTTGCAATTAAAATTTCATGAAGTTAGTCAATTATCTTGTTATAGAATTTCTTGTGTTGATTGCTCTGCGATTAACTACCATTTTGACAGAAATATTTAAAGCACAATAGTAAAACAAATTTAATTACGTGTTAATTATCATTACTATGGGAAGAGTGGGATACAATTGTTAGAAATAGTTCCTTGTAAAATATCTGGTAATCTCAAGTGTTCCAGATACGACCTATTGAACTTAACCGAATGCTCATAAAAAGTATCTGAATTTTTTAAAGAATAGTGAGGTTGTAATTGTTGTACACTTTAATATTTACGACAAATCGCTTTAATCAAGAATAATAATTAACAACAAATGATTATTAGACATCTGTTTCTGCTTAATATGAAACTACTGATGTTTAGCTGTGAACGAGATGATCTCGAATCCAGTCACAATAATGACAATAGTTATCACTTCCCAGTTGGCTACACCAAAGAAACTTATTTATTCTTTGGGTACCTCCGAAGAAAACGGTTAAGGATGGTTTTGGTAATCTGAGAGCGTGACCGCAATGCCCGATTGACAATTGTTTGAGGCCAGTCATAAACGGGCTTCCTATTAGTATTTTTATGTGTAATAGCTTAACACTTTAAGGGTACTACCACTGACACCTGGGATCACACGTGCTAATTTTGGAGCCAACACTTTCCAATCCCTTCTTCTGTTAGTGACCGTGTAGCGGTTCGCATCTTGTCAGAGGGTACTCCGTGTACTAGATAAGCATGCTATGAAGCGTGGGTTAAGAGAGCTGACAAAGAGAAAAAACTAAGAAAATATGAGCCAACAACGCAGCAAGCGCACAAAATGCATTCACGTTGAATAACGAAAGCAATTAACAACAATAAGTAATAACACAAACATCAGACCAAGTTAACGTGAAGTTTCTAACCCGCTACATAGCTACCCCTTATTCAAAGAGCACTGTCGCAGTGCTAAATAATTTCACACACTTTGCATCCTGGCAAGCTCGCCACTTTAGCGTGGCCCGTGATCTGGCTCCAATTTGAACGTATAAATGAACATGTCATGGGTAGAAATTTTCGGGTTGACTCCGCTTATTATATTTAGGCTGACTCCGTTTGAGTGACGGTGGTAGTGAGAACAATAAGAATTAAGTTAGGTGAATTTATTTCATGCAATCGTCTACTTAGACAGGCGTTAAGATGAGAAGCAAAACGAAACGGAGAAAGTAAGCGTACCAACTTGATTTGATAAAGCCTCACACACTGGTTATAATCAGACAGAAAAGTAAGTTGAAGATGTGTGATGAATACACTAAGTGATATACACACAAGCTTATATAAAGGTAACCAGGTGATAATACGTGAGGATACTGACTTAGAAATAATAAATTAATTATTCTGTTCGAAAGTCAGACTAATCCATTTAGGTGTGACATAGGACTAGACGGTATAACAGTGCAGCTGTGTTTGATCCGTCGAGGTCGTACCAATCAGTTCATATTCCTAATTCCAACCAATGTGTTAATGAATAAACACCATCTGCCTGTTCCGTTTGAAACATGACTGAACTCTCATCTAGCTTTTATTGGATGTCCAGCTGAATTCACTTGATGATATAAAGTGACTTCTGATAGTCTCTTTTGAAATCATAATCAAAGTTTTAAGATTTCTACTTTGTTAAAAGAATCGAGTGAACTAGGATTACTATTATCATCGAGATGCATAAAATCTTGTTAAATTGTATAGTTGAAAATCAAAGAAAAAATTTAGTATTATTTATGTCTCTTAGCAATCGATCTACATTTAAAGTGTTGTTAATGTTATATTTTGAACAAAATCCTCATTTAAACAAATGAAAACAGCTGAGAGTTTTACTCCAAACCAAGTTTCAGCCTGGTTGAACACTAACTACATAGATATAAATTAATAAATTACACCTAATGAATTCAGTGACGCTCTGCTTGGCATAAACGACTAGATGTACTTGGTAGCAACATCCCATAACCTCGTGAAGTTAACTGCCAAAAGAATACTGATCTGTAATACTACAATGTTCAATGATTGTCAGTAATTCAACGGTTTGCACATAAATATCTATGTATTTAATCACTTAACTTTCTTATTTTTTTATTTACTTAGACAAGAAACTGAAAAGTTATCATCGTTATCATCATTACTAACGGATACAAAGCAGTTGAAGAGTAAATTGAATTCTGGATCTGCAGGAGTTGATTTTATTCAATCCACAATGGTATTTATGTCAACTGCCATGAAAAATACTGTGAATAAACATTTACCTAAAGAACCGAAAGATAAAATTGCATCTTTTGCAGCTGATGTTTGCTCTAATCTACGTTTACCATTCCGTAGTCAAACAACAAATAATCTCAATAACTGTAGTAAAACCACATCTACTACTACTACTATAACCGTAGCAAAATCATCAACTATAAGAGATAAAAAAGAATCTCTCAACGAATACTCCATGGAAAATCAATAATACCTCTCAACATATGGAGTCCTATTACTATTTTGGTTGTGTTATTTTTCTTGTCAATAATGTTTTTTTTTCTAGTTTACACATTTAATAAAAGAATTATTTCAACCAACTAAAATGTTAATAAAGATTCATTATAAAACTCACAAAACATTTATTTAGAGTATCTCATTTCATTTATACTCTTATAAGAGTTTGTAAAAAATGCTTATTTTTTCTAACATTTCTCTTTATCTAATTCTTCTATCATACTGTGAATAGATAACAAAGAATATATATATCAATAGAATACTAAAAGAATACTAGTATAAATAAGATTGATGATAACTTTTTCTTCCTCTCTGCAAACTTTTTCATTACTTCATTATATTGAATCTTAGCGATGACATTTGTCTTGTTTTCTAATCTTTCATAATTTGCTTTCTCTTTCTTTTTTTTTCTTTTTCTACTGTTCTACCTATGAACTTTAAAATATGTCTTATACAAAGTTGGAAAAACAACATAAAATGATAATAACACAGTTTATTCATTAGTTATATTGTAAAGGAGAAAGTAACTCAATATTAATTGACTTATTCTCATTTGTATAGTTAATGACAAATAAATAATATCATGAATTAGCATTACATTTTGAATGTCATTGTGAATTGGCAATTAAAACTATAATCATTTACTATTAACACATTTGTGATGCAATTAAGATTATAATTTATTTTATTTTAATAATTTGTAGTTGATTAATTTCTTGAAATCTCATATAAACAAAACATTATAATGATGATTTGATTCAATGTTGTTTTCTTTTCTTCAAAATACTTGGAATAAGCCAAATATTTGAATTATCTAGAAATACATGGTTATCATATTGATTGATCGTTAGTTCTAATTAAATTGTATTTATCAATTTGAATCACTCATTGTTTCACTCATAATACAGATCTGTTATTATGAGGATTGTTAAAAAAGTATGTAGATCTTATCGAAACTCTTTACTTTCGAAATTTCGATGTAGCTTGTATAAACAGTCAAAGATCATCTGAATTGACAGTTTTCCAGTTGGTTACATTTTCTGATTGAGATCATGAATCAATTGATGTTAGACCACCGTTGGAAACCTGGAAGCAATGGACGGCCGTTTCGTCCTAGTATGGGACACTTCAGCAGTGTGCATCCACGATCCCGCTCCCTACGAGATTCGAGCCCAGGACCTATCGGTCTCGCGCCAGGCGCTTAACCAACTAGACCACTGAGCCGGCATCCAGTGGTGTTAGTGTCGGGTAGAGACAGGTATCTACCTCAGTACAATGGAAGTTGGTCGCGCGATTTCGTGGATTGGTTGATGTTAGACACCAACACCATTGGATGCCGGCTCAGTGGTCTACTCGGTTAAGCGCCTGGCGCGAGACCGATAGGTCCTGGGTTCGAATCTCACAGAGAGCGGGATCGTGGATGCGCACTGCTGAAGAGTCCCATACTAGGACGAAACGGCCGTCCATTGCTTCCAGGTTTCCAACGGTGGTCTAACACCAATTGATTCATGATCTCAATCAAAAATTTAACAATCTCCACAACCTCTATACTGATGGTTACATTTTCGTTTAACTTTATAATAAATATCCTCCTAGAAATCAACTATTCTTCTTCTGAACGTTTAGATGTTGCTCATTGAACAAATGAATTTATTTATTGATTTATACTGTTCAGTCGACACAATATTGTCCAATTAGGACACTGACAAAAATACAGTTTCTTCTAAATCACTTAAGTAACAATGAATTAATGTTTAAAATATGATTCTTAAAGTTTTATCATATGGCTGGTTTAGATCACTGCTTAGTTTGATCTTAACGATAGAACATATGATGACTCTGATCCCTTGATTTATCTTGGAATTCTACCAAAATTTACTAGTTATAACTTCTCACTCATAATCAGACAATTGTTGACAAGTTTGGGTTTTGTTGCATGTTTGCGCAACCTAATGCAAGTAAAGTGGAATTAGAATTCCTCATTTCATTTTTTTTCAAGTAATATGCTCCTATAGATATGGTATTGTCATAGATATTTGTATTTATAGATTATGAATAGAGTCATGTTTGGAGTTAAAAGACGTATATTTTGATATCATGTTGACAGTAACATTCTTTAAATATATATTCTGCATTACCTTCTACCAAATAAATCGATTTACGTGTATCTATCAAACGAAATGGATAAAAGTCCTACGACAGAGGTTATAAATTAGAATATTTATCAATTTTATTTGTTCATTCGATAAACTCAATACATCAGGTACATGCTTTGGAATACTTGAATAAATTCAACAAATAAGAACCAATTATTAACCTTAAACCTATATTTATAAACTCCGCAATTGTTCATTAGGATCAAATTTTTACTTTACAGTAAACGTTATTTCTCTAGTGAGCAGCCTATGCTTCTTCACGAGGATTAACAGGCGTAGGTAAACTTTATTTCTAATGTAATAAAATAACTGCCTACTATTTCACATAAGTTTTCTCACAGTTTTCATCAGTTAGCATATACTCTAAGTGTACAATATATGTATCATGTGATATTCTCATCTCTTACGTCATACATATCGTTTTTCATGTGATCACTTGACAAAGTAACTTGTATGAATGAAAGAAGAGATCATTTCTTATCAAGTTAATTTTTATTTCCTTAAAATTTTGTTTATACCATACCATTATTCAATTATTTATTTTGCTTTACGACTTAATTTCCATGATCGAATTGGATTATGTTTAAAATATTCTTGTTACCTTGACAACTGAACACTATGTGTTGCGAAAATATAATAAATAAGAGCACAGCCGAATTAAGTGAATTCGTTCTTCTTTACGTGTATTCTTTGTCGGTATTATTTTTTTTAAAAGTATTTAGGAAGAAATAGATATACATACATACATACATACATACATACATAAAGGAGTTCTATTATTATTCATTGTTTTATATGTATATTAATAAATCAACTGATTTCGGTGAATCTTGTCAAAAGTTAAACTGGCCGTCAAGTTAAGTATAAATTTTCAACTTAAAAAAACAACAAAAATAACTGATATCAAGAAGAACGCTTAAATTCAATCGTCATTTCTTTCATAGTCTAGATTCTATTACTTTGATCATGTTTTCATTGAAGTGAACTAACATTTCAGTAATTTACTTGAATAAGGTTCTACTTAAATATATAAATGAATAAATTGCTTTATTCGCTTTATAATTACATTGTTGAGAAGTTAAACGACTCATGATTTGGATGATGAAACACATTTAAGCAATTTATACAATAAAAATGTTATTCATAAAATGTATAAAGAATGTACAAGCCGACTTCTTTGAAAAATTGCTTGCGACATCCATAGAAAGAATGCTTAAACTGATGAATGCGGCAAGATATCGTTTGCTTTACATATAAAACACTAGGAAAGAAGATGAATTCTAACAAAAACATTCAAATTTAATTAGTATTCTTATGTGCAGTAGATATTAGATTTGAGGACAATTTTCAAAGTCTCAATGAATGATCATATTCAATGTAGTCCAACTTTATAATGCAAACTGACTAGATTTGAAAATGTAAACTACTGTTTTAGGGAAAAAATGTTTGTTGCGAGAGCTTTGATAAGATTTACATACTTCTTTGACAATCCTTACAAAAACAGACCTACATTATAAGTGAAACAGTCAGTGATTCAGTTTAACTTGTGAAATTCAAACAACAGCTGAAGGAAAACTTTAAGATTTAGTGAATTGATCTTGTCTTGGAAATCTTATTTCTTTTGCTATATTTAAACTTATCAAGTAACAAGATGTATGAGATCACATTATATGGTTATCATTATTATCTTTCTATCATCTATTGTATATTCTAAGCAATCTATGAAATGCTGTGAAGTGAAAAGTTACCTAAAATATGAGGATAATAATCAATTCAACTAACAACAACAAAAAAACTCGGAATTATCGTCACAAATTTAAATAGCCTGGAACTACATATTCAAATCTCGAGTGAAGGAAAAGAATAACTAAATACAAACTAAATTTCCTATCCTGCATCATAATAATTCATCTTGGACATTTATATTTATTGCACGGATTATATTATTTTCGGCATAAATTTTTTAGACATAGTTTACTTAATTCGTTTATTTTGTTTTATTTACTCATTTAACTTGATAATCATAAATTTATTGACAAACACAACAAAACACACTACACATCTTACTTCCTTAACCATACATACTCATACGAAATAATCTATTTTGAATACTCTCTATCCAAATGACCAAAATTGATAAACAATTTCCTTTAGTTTGTGTTTTGATGTGGAATTTTTAATTCTTAACTGTTTTGTTTTAATTTTGAGTAAATTTCCTTGAAAATTTAATTTTATACTATTAAAAAAGGTTTTTATTTGCAACTCAATTAACTTTAATAGGTTTTACGAATAATTTGATTTGAATAATCTTTACTAATTTATTCAACCGTCTATTTAGTAATATAAGATTTTGTTTGAATATTTTGTTAACATCATATTATGTTATATCTAGAGATTAGATTTTGGCTATAAAGCGTACAACTTGAGCAAATGAACACTTGAACCCTCCAAGTCACAAATTAGAAGACAAAATAAAAATGAGAAAGAATTTTATTCCAAATAACTGATTGGATGGGATATGTTTGGATCGTTCAGAGCTTCTTTGAGTTTACCCAGAAGCAGTCCTTATAATACCTATCAACGAGAATTTCTTAACAGAGATTTATAAAACTTAAAATTATTTTTGCATATTTATCGCTTTATTTGACTACTCCATTAAAAATTGCAGCTTGATCAATAATTCTGACATAAATGATAAGGCAGAAGAGTATTTTGTCATCCTTTTTTTTTGTCTAGTTTAGATGGACTCGTGAATTAAACTTTAAAAATACTACAACCTCCACAAATCCCCATTCTGATAATAATCGTGTGCTCACCAGAGTAGAGTGAGTAGAGTCCAGTTCATGTCGGGTAGACAGTTATACACCTTAGACAACTTATGAGAGGTTACACAAGATCATGGATCGGTTAAAGTTAGACATTGACAATGTTGGATGCCGGATCAGTGGTCTAGAGGTTTGGTGTTCGCGCTTGAGATCGAGGGTTCTGGATTCGATTCTTGCATGTAGGATTGTGGATGTGCACTGCTGAAGAGTCCCGAACTTGGACGAAATGGTCATTCACTGCCTCCGGATTTTCAATGTTGATTTAGCTCATATCGACTAATGAATTCAACTTCAAAATTACTACAATCTCCACAAATCTCCATACTGTCAAATACAAACTTATATTCTCATTGATGAAGTTCCAGTTTGATTTTTGACGAAAACGTTTTTTATTTCCTAGTTTAAGTTCATCTTTATGTGTATTTTTTTAATTCCAGAACACATGGTTACGATATAAAGTGACATATAATTCCTAGCATTAATCAATTATCTTTATTGTAACCAAATAATCGAAATTTTATTATTACACTTAAGAATGATATTTCGTTATGCTGATTTATTAAAACGTTATAACAACCGTCCATTTTATATTCTCTAAATATGTATCTGAAAGTTGATTTTCTTACCATCGGTCGACATCATATAATGAATCATTGAAAAATTATAGACAATAAATGAATGTCCCTTTTTGAGTTTGAGACAATTCAGTGGTCGGTAGCCAACTTGTGAACAGATGAAATCTACATTTTAATATTTCAGGGACTAATATTGTTTATAGTCTGAATAGACTAGCTCACATGATTTACTTAAGGTACTTTGGAGTCTTACTTAGTTACTTATGCCTATTACCTTTCATTGA